CATTGTCCTCATTTGTAAGTCGCTTTGGATAAAAGTGTCTGCTAAATTACTAAATGTAATGTAAATGTAAATGTAATTTGATAATAAAGAGCTTTTAGAATGTTAAAAACCTATGGGGGGTAAAAATTAACACCCCTACCCACCCCCACAAAAGCAGGATGGTAGTGATCTCAGTGTGTGCACATATCTATGTGTAGCCATTCATCCACATTTGAACAGAGTGGACAGTGAAATCCTGTAAATACAGAGTGATAAGGAAAAAAAATAAAAATTCAAACCTGCTTTAAAACCCAGCAACACAACTGTAGCTGTATAACTTTACAACAGCAGCACTGCTTTAACAAAAAAGCAAAACAGCAAGGCTTATTTGACATCAAAACAAAAATTTAAAAAATGCTGTCTAATCGCTCTCGTGGTACTTGTGTTTTATTAGGAGATGCACAACAGTTCTTCTGTGGCCTTATAGGTAATATTTTCACGTACACAATTTAGCAAAATCAGACAATATTGTGTCTAATATAAACCACAATATTAACTTCTTATTATTGAATTGTTGTAAATAAATATCACATTTGGAACTGGTCAGTGTTCAAAAAATGCTGGGAAATCACTTCAAGTAGCCCCAAGAGTGATTACTGATAAACTGTCTGAAAAAAAGACAAGAAAGAAATCACCCACTGACTTTCAAAGCTGCTTACGACTTTCTACTTCGAGGACATTCATAGAAATGTAGTGGAGTGAAAAGTACAATATTTGTCTTTCAAATGTAGTGAAGTTAAAGTCATAAGTTCCCAGAAAAAATAATACTCGAGTAAAGTACAGATAAACAAAAAGTGTACTTAAGTACAATACTCAAGTAAACGTACTTAGTTACTGTCCGCCTCGGAGCACGCGAGTATCGAATGGCTTAAACTTAAAAAGATGTGCAAATTATACAGTTTTGTGGCGATGCAACAATGACTCGATTAGGCAAATGACAATTCTGTCGACTGTCCCGAAACCCGAGCAAAAGTCTTGTATCGCATAATCGCAGCGTGCAGTAGTGCAGACGAGATGCGCTGTTGTGAAGCCACTTTGAGAGTGAGAGAAGACGCGGTACAGCTGAATCACTCACGCTGTTTTCAAATGACTGATTTAATCTGATAGTATGTGTGGATTTAATTTACTCGCTAACCTACAAAAGACCAGTATTACGTTACTGCATTTCTTTGACTTATTAGCATTATTACATGTAAAAAGTAGTGTTACCTGCTTTGAATAGGCCGGAAAGCTGCAAAGCACTTAATGATTTACAATACCTAGTCCATAAAAAAATGTTTTATGGATTCATTCATCAAGGCATTAGGTACATTTTACATTTAAAGATATTTGTGCAACTGTAGCACATACTGAAAAAAATGAATAAAATGTACTGATAATTTTCTGCCAGGACATTATCCATTAATTTTCCATTGCGGAAATACATACCATGGTTAATTTTCATAAGTTTTCCATTAACCCTAAAACGCAACGCAATGCAGTGCAAAATTAAAAATACCGCCATATACAGTACACTGTATTAATGAAATTGCAATGTGAAAGTTAAATAAGCTAACACTGACCGTTGCCTGGTCTTTAATTGCTAGAGGAAAAAAAAAATCCCATATAGCCTATTTAACAATGGGATTCAAAATTTTAAACTGCTGTATAGAAATTGAAAACAATAAAGTAGCCTACAAAATTAAACACTTGTTGCTTCCGTTTCAAGTGAAATGAGCTCTCATCATCTACTGAAATAGGCTATTTACTTATTTCACTTATGCTTATGAATGAATTTCACTAAGGTTTATCAATGTTTTTCGTTTCACTAGTGTTTGTAAGAGGCTTTTCAATAATTATGGCCTATACGGCCCCTCATAATCCATCATTAAGGTGATTTTACTTTAAACTGTTCCTTCTGGCCAAAATATGCATCCGTCCATAATCCATAATAACACTTCCCTCAGTGAAAAAGTTCATCCACTGTTGTCCTCTTACGCCAAAATCCACAACATATTTGTTTAGAACTATTTAAGACTGCTTTTGCTTGTAAACAGTGCTTGATCTGTGCATATTTCTCTCCTGAATCAGAAGAGATGTATTTTAGCCAGAAGCAACTGTTTGAAGGTAAAAACATCTTCGTGATAGATTTGTTTCGTACAAAAACACAGCTTTTCACTTCAAAAGATGTTAATTGATGGACAAGTGGTGTGGAATACTTGTGGATTATTGTGATGTTTTTTAGCTGTTTGGACTCTCATTCTGACGGCACCCATTCACTGCAGAGGCAAGTGATGTAATGCTAAATATCTTCAAATCTGTTCCAAAGAAGTAACAAACTCATTTACATCTTGTATGGCCTGAGGGTGAGCAAATTTTTTAGGGAAAAAAATCTTTTTTGGGTGAACTATTCCTTTAATGCTTTCAAAAAAACCAACTCAGGTGACAACCATTGACAGAAGATCTGCTGAAATCAACAGCGCATCACAGACTTAACAAAATCAACTAATCACTGAAAGTTACATCAAACCAGTTTTAGCAGTATTAGAGGCCTTTCACACAGAATGTTTGCTTTTAAAAACGTAGGACGCCACATATTAGTATCCAACTGCAGAAGAAGGTAGGGTCTTTGAGATGCATTTTTAAGTTGCACTTCTTTTAACTTAAAAACATGATGCTTGTGTATGAGAAAGCAGTGCAACAGTCAAAGACAATTAAAAAGCCACACATTCAGTGTGAACCAGCCCTTATGTATATGTAAAATCCCCTCTCAGTATTTGCAGAGAACATGCATGCTGCTTTGTGCCCAATGAGAGTTCTGCACAAAAGCCCTGTTAACATTTGTCAGTATAAATGCTGAACTTTAACACCTCTGCTCAGATCAAACACCGCTAAATCTATGTTTGTAGAGACTCAGGCTTGGGAACCGAAGTTGCACGTACCTCTTAGATATCTTCTGTGACCAGGAGACGGATGCGGTTATACTGCTTGGTCCCAGCGATTGTGACCTGGAGTGCGTGAGGGATCCTGTGGTTCAAAACAAAGCAAATACTTATAGTAGCATGCAGGATTTCAGCAGCTGAACATGACTGCATAAGAGTAACACATTTTTACATTTTCTGAAGAAAAAAAAGTGTGGTGCCTCCCTGTGCAAACTTCACTGCTTCAATGTTATAGGTCGTTTATGTGTTTTTATCACGTTGCTTGTTTCTAGGGTTTTCTGGGTGGTTTCTTACTGGCCCAATTGAAAAGAGTACAGTACTGTAAGTCTCTGTGATATTAGAGTATGTAGATATGGCTCAAGTCCCTTCGATTAAGTTTTTTTCACCTGTCAAGTGAAAGCTTTATTGCTTAGAAAAATTCTCAACAAGCTGCAAGGTTCTGAGGTATGATTCATGTTTGTAACACAAACAGTGCAGGTTGGGAATTGAAATAGCTATGGTTCAGGTTTTGCGGACTATAAAAAAAAAAAAAGGTTATTTGGCATCTATGGTTCCACAAAGAACTATTAAGATTTAAGAACCTTTCCACTTCACAAAAATGCTATTTATAGCAGAAAAAGGTTCCTTCGGTTTTTAGCTCTTCAAACCAAGAAAAAATGGTTCTTTTAAGAATTGTTTACTGAAAGGTTCTTTAAGGAACCGTAAATGTTTCTTATATGGCACTATTGAAGAAAAAGCTTTTGAAGCTTCATTTTAAGGGTGTACAGTATGAGTAATGATAATGCATGATGAAATTTGTTCTCCAATAGTGCACAGCCAATTTTAATTTTCTAGTGAAAGTCAATTTGAGAAAAAAAAAGTGATATTTTCATTTCAATGTCTCTCTTGACCCTCATCATAAGCCTCCTCTTTCACAGTCACGCCTAATGGAAACTTCCATTGACAGCATAACTCGTGAGTAACTTGAGATATTATATCATTTCAATCATGAAGATGCTGACAAACATAAGCCTGTTTCACATCAAGGCCGGCCAAATGGAGACTTGGAGAGTCGAGTGGAGGACGATCAATCTAAACAGTTCTGAAACAGTTTCTTAATTCTGAATGTGTCGCAGGGGCTTTATCGTGGGATTAGTTGTTTGGGTGGCGGCAGCCACTGACATTTGAGGAGCATTCCAGTCATACAATATCCCGTCCACTCAGCCACTGCCCCCTGCTGCAATAAGCACTGACAGTCACGCCACGCATCCTCCCCAAAACATTTTCAGATACAGTAACTGAAAAAAAAAAAAAAAAACTTTTGACGACATCAAACACTGAAGAAGAAATGCCAAAAATGTAGGATCAAATACTCTAATTCTTTAAAAAGAAAACAAACATTAAGTTACAGACATTAAAACACTTCAGTGTAAATTTATGATCCAAACAAATATGATGTTTCATGTAGGGAAATTAGAAAAATTAATTTTTACATACATTTTTTACAAATATAAAAATATTTTACCATAACAGCATACATAAAACAATGCATATATATATATACACTGTGTGCACAATTATTAGGCAAGTTGTATTTTTGAGGATTAATTTAGTTATTGTACAACTACAGTGCTCTTGGTCAATCCAAAATGTTAACAAAATATAATTACCATCAATTATAATTATAAAACAATGTTATATAACTATATAATTACCATAAATTGTAATCTGTTATTCACACTTAATACTTAGTCGTGGCCTAATGGATAGAGAGTCGGACTTGTAACCCGAAGGTCACAGGTTTGAGTCTCAGATCCTGCAGGAATTGTTGGTGGGGGGAGTGAATATCCAGTGCTCTCTCCACCCTCGATACCACGACTGAGGTGAGACCCTTGAGCAAGGGACCGAACCCCCAACTGCTCCCTGGGTGCCGCAGCATTGGCTGCCCACTGCTCCGGGTGTGTGTTCACGGTGTGTGTGTGCGCGTGTTTGTTCACTACTCACTGCTGTGTGTGTGCACTTGGATGGGTTAAATGCAGAGC